GTAATATGCTTTCAGACCATCACAAATATCTAGATAACTATGCAGGTATTATGAGGCGGGGTGTAGTTTCTCATGATAATGGATTCTCTCTGAGGACGGGCTCCAAATACCTCACGAAACTTCAAACATCGAATTTGTGAGCACATGGGTATATCTTACCAAACTGTTTTATCTTCTGAGGCAAGTTGCATACTTACCGAAGGGGTAGAGGGTGAAGTTGCAAGTTGCATACTTTCCCATACTGGCAAGTTGCTCCCTTAAGCAAGTTGTTGTTAGATATCATTGCGAGGAAATGGGCCACCCATTTACTTACACCGATCTCACTGTACTGTTTTCCAGTTCGTCCCGGTTGGAACTCAACACCTTGCGAACTATCTCAATAATTAGAATGAGACCTGAGTTGAACGGCTCCGAGTCCTCTACTTAGTTGTTGAGTCGTGGGTGTGCCCAACTAGCGGCTGGTCGTTGGTGTGGTGGTTGGCTGAGGCTTTGTGCCCAGCGTGCTCTGCGTGTTGGGGGGGGGGGCCTTGATCCTTGTGCTGAGGGCTCAGTCAGTTGGCTTAGAGTATTCCGGTAGTGTGGATTATCCTACGGTGGAACAGACATTGTTTGATTTACTGGGTATCGATGCGGGTGCTGTATGTGGAGTGGAACTGTTGACAAAGCATCAGGCGGTGGTCAAGCTCTCCAATGGCGAGGACTACCCGGTGTTTCTGCGCCGTTTTGAAGGGCATACTTTCCAGTTACCGGGTCCTTCTGGGTCGGTTGTTATCTCCGACCGCAGTGGCGCTTCCACCTACGTCAGTGTACATGACGCCCCTATTGAATTCCTGGATGAGTTGTTGAGGAGGTACGTTGGGCAGTTTGGAAAGGTAGTGAATGTAAGGATGAATGTTATCTTCTCCGGTCGCTTGAGGGGCGTCCAATGAGTTCAGGACGCTGGAAATGAGGCTCCGATGTGACATCCGTTCCTCTGTCCGGATGATGAGGTACTACGTCCGTGTTTATTACGCACGGCAGCCGCGGACCTGCTTCTGTTGTAGGTTGTTGGGCCACATGGCTGCAGGGTGCTCTGTCGACGTCGTCGACCAAGTTAATCTATTCCGCAAGGAGGATTACCCCCTCCCGGTTGTTGAAGAGGCTCCGGAGGATGTGGGGTGTGCCCTTGGAGGGCGTACATGTACGTAGAGCTGTTGCAATGTGTGAGGATCGGTCGTCGGGTGCCGTGCCGACGTCGTCTGCGTCTTCTGCGGCTGCCGTGAGTGCTGTCGGTGTGGGTGTGGTACAGCGGATCAACCTTCCCCTGTCTCCCACTTCTGCGACTGCTGTGCCTCCCGTCTCGGCTTGCTCGCCTGTTCTGCCTGCAGTGCCAGTGTGTGGAAGGGTCGCGGCCTCCTGTTGTGGCTTGGCCGACACTCCCGGTCATCGCCGCTAAGGTTCTGAGTGCCCGTGCCAGGTCGAGGACTCCATGCGTCACTCGCGAATCGGATTTTGTGGCGGTGGAGAGTTCGGATGACTTGCGCCCTGACCTTAAGCGCTCGCGGCGTTCTTCTTCTGTTCTGGCCTTGGATGGTCTCGCCTGGGCGGACGTGGGGGAGTGTGTGAGCTGCATGTCTTCCGACGGCGAGGGGTATGTGCCTGGTGATGTTCCGGTGTACTCGGTGGTGGTGGTGGCGGCATATGTGCATGCGATGGATGCAGGTGTTGGTGTGGGGAGCTCTGTGCTGGTTACCGTGTCCGCCCCTGTCACCTGATGTGGGCTCCCGGACGTGGGAGGTGGTTCCCCCCCTCCTGTGGAGGCTGATGCGGCCCGTAACCTTGTGGTAGTTCTTAAGAAAGGTGGTTGCTGAGGGGGCTCTGCGCCTGTGCCCGGTGCCAAGCAGTCCATTGTGAGTTTGGGCCCTTTGGTGTCGCCCCTTTCCGGGGGAGGGGGCAGTTGCCTCGTCAGGGTGGCGCCGGATCCGATGCTGATGTGGAGTCTGGACCCTGTATGACGGTCCGGATGTTGCCGTTTCCACGGTATTCATTCACCGTGTGGGTGCCCAGCATGCAGGCCTTCACCGCTGGTGTTCCTGATTTTGTGAAGCGTCCTCAAGGGAAGGCTTGCACTCCTCTTCAGGAGGATGATCGGATCGTTTGGGAGGCGTACTGTTTGCGGTTTCCGGAAAAGGATTATTCGCACAAGTATGTGTAGGCTTTACATTCTCGCGTATGTCCCTGGCCACACCGAAACACACCAATATGCCTTTGGCATATTAGTGTGTTTCGTTTGCTGTTTTTTTGTTGTGTACCCTTCAGGCTTTTTGCATGTTCATTTGTATTGTTTGTAACGTGTGTTGCTTTTGTCCGTTTTGGGCTGACTTGTGTATTTTTTTTATGAATCTGTTGCACTGTACTTCTGTATTTATGTGTTTTCATGAATTTGAGTGGATATGGTTTGGGGATTATTATTTTGTTCCTTTGTAATTTGTGCTTTTGTTGTTGTTTTTTTTTTGTATTTGTTTTTATGGTATTTATGTAGCGTACTTCACATGTAAATAAAAAAGAATAGATGGCGACATATTTGTACAAGTCCCGGATACCGAACGACTGTTGCAGTTGAAGGGAAGCTTTCGACCAAAACTCAGTTTTAAACTTCACTTATGAGATGGAGAGGTGGGGGGGGGGGTAAGCTGCCTTTCTTAAATGAAGCAGTCATGGAAAGGAGCGGCAGCTTTCATCATACAGTATAGGACAAAGTGCTCGCGGAACACCAGGCGAGCGTCTTAACCCCTACACCACAGGGGCTGCATAACTGCATTGTATTTACAAAAGTATTTACATTACAGTTGAGTAAATGTACAGAATTTCATTACAGTTTTCAAGAAACACAGAATGTATTTCGACCAATTTTAAAACATTGAAGAAATGTTTTTTTTTAGCAGTTTTTGGAGCGAATACATTATACGACGTCATATTGTATTCAAATTAATGTTAAAATATATGAATTAAGGAAACTGCAGAAGGCCAATTGGCCCATAGGTTTCAGAAAGCCTGTTAAGCTATCGAGGTCTTTCTAGGCCAGACATTTGTTTCTTTTATTTAAAAGTACAAAGTATTTACAAAATGAAATAAACCATAACTTAGCTGCTAAATGCTACCACATACAATACTAAAAAACCTGGGAAGGATAACATATATAATTAAACAAACTTATGTCACAATTAATAATGCACTCAACACTATACTATAACGCAAACTATAAACAAGACACAGTGGATGCAAAACCGAGCACACACGTACAGTCCTCCAGGTACACAACCACAATGAATAGAGTATTAACAGAAACCAACATTATGTAACAAGGGGCCCTAATACTACCACCGCATACCGGGAAAGCATCGAACCCGACAGAAGACCCCAAACTCTGCAACTTCCGGGGAGGGAGCCACAGCGTCCGGCTCAAGCACAGAACTCTTCCGGAGCGTAACAATTAAATCGTCCCCTGCCGACTGCTTCTGTTCCCTTCTCCACAACACTCCACTAAGCCTCGTGTAGTGTACTACCAGGCGGCGTACCGCTGTCACGAAGTACAGGGACACTAACATCCTTCACGGGCACTTTCCCGCCATCAGGCTGATCATCCGCAGCTAACGGAACCAATGTTTCACACTGCACATTCACCATGGGAGGCGGAACGTCTTCCATCCTCTGCCGTAAATCTAGTGTGCTTGAGAGAACCACCGAATTTCCGACGCTTCAAGCTAAGCGGCCCACCGCCAACAGTCAACATACAAGCACCCTCTCTGCGCCCAGAACCGCGACCAGGGGACGTCGCGGTTGTATACATCATAAAGACATCTACTTTATGCACCTCCGCCACCACCTCAGCAGGGCGAGCCACGTTAGTTTAGTTAATTTATTATGCAGTCCATACCCATGTTGTGGACGATAGTGGAAAGCCACGGAAACACAATCACCCACCACCCGCTGCGGGTCCCGATGCATTCCAACCGACTCAACACTGGGACACAAATCCGCCGGGGAAACGTCCACAACTGCAATCTCCACTCCACCAGGTACAGCAGCCACTTCAGCGTACCCCGTACCAGGCGGCTCCACTCCGGTTCAGAGAACACAACATCAGAGGTCCACAGCTGTTCAACACCCTCCCAGCAAGAATTAGAAATACTGCCAGAACAAAGGTAAATGTCTTCAAGATCAAATTAGGTAAGTTCTTGCAAGAAGTACTGGACTGACCAGGCTGTAGTGGATTTGTGGGCCTACAGGCAGCTGCAAGCAACAGCCTGTTGGACCAAGTCATCAAAAGTCAAGCCTGGCCTCAGGGAGAAGTACACCAGACCCTCTCCAGGTACTGTATACATATTTGCTGTAGTGTATAGGTCTCATAGGATTGACCATGAAGCTGGATTTAAGTTAATTCACTTTGGTGGGGCCAGGAAGCCTGTGTACATATATGTATCTTAGGCTTGGATCAAAGTTGTACTACTACCCTTCCACAGGATGCAACCCTACAAAAGTTGCCAAACTCCCAGATTCCTATTTACTGGGAGGTGTACACATCATGCCTGACCATTTCTGTCCACCCAGGATTCCCGATTACGAGTTGAGAACAAACCCAACTGTACTATAAGATCCAATAGTTAGTATGGTTAATATGAAGTCTGTCAGGAAATTTGTTTAATTCACTGTTGCCTGTGACATACATCATGTGTAGAAAAAAAAAGCATAGCAAAATAATTTGTCTGTTTACTTTTTGTTTTCAAGGAAATCTTTTATCAGCTGCATCACAAAGTTGTGACTGATAAGCATAAGCATACTATATTTCTACTCTACAATTTCCATACAGTATGATAGTAATCTTGAGTTATGAATACCGTCCATCCATATACTGTACTAACATTCCTTTGCTAGTTTAACGAGTATCATAGGTATAAGACCCAAGGGTGGGGAAATCCTAAATAAACTTCAAGGAAATTAAATTTAATGAAAAACAAGTGTAGAATACAAAAGCATTTATAATGTTTATATTATAGCAACTCAATACAGACGAATAACAGAACTATACCTCATGTTGGAAAATTTATATATGTTGATGCACTGGGTATCCAATGACAATGATTTATCACAGTGTATTACAATCACTTCTCATTAAAGATTAACAGTTATGAAATGTTTACCAAAGCACCACATTTTGAAGTAGCTAGACTATAATCTTATTCTATATTCATCTCCAGGAAGAAAATTTAGTTCTCCTAAAATAAAAATACAGTATAACAATGTAATAAAAAATATATGCTCATGCATTTGTTCTGTAGCAAGTTAATAATAATAATAATAACAACTTTTATTATTATTATTAAGTGGCAAATTAAATAAAACTGTTACTCAAAAAAATTCACATAATTGGGCATAAAATGGAACAAACTATTTAAGAAAAAAAATATGAGAAGGCAAGACTGGCCTAAAACTGGCCAGTGTTTTATTTAATGCCTATTTTATATCATCCTCTTGCCTTCTTACTTAAAATTTGAACCATGTGAACAAAGTCCTATACATTAACATTGTCAAATATAAAAATTATAAGTTATGATATACAAATATACAGTACTTTGTATCAAACATAATACACAAATTATATGATTTTGTAAGCTGTGTCTTTCAGACGAAGGCCTGCAGGGTACTCTTTAAAGTAGGCACATTACTAGACAATGTCTTGCCAAAACTCCACATAAAACCAAACTCTCTCCACTACTAGAATGCTACCCTTCACAAAATTTTGAATCATTTTATATTTTAATATACAATATAAGCATCTCTCTTGTAAATACATGCACACAAAAAAAATCTTACCAATTAGGGTAATGAAGGTGAAAGAAAGACCCCAATAAACAGTATGTAAATGTATTAAAAAACAAATTTTCGGATGTAACCTACATCTCTTCTCAAGGATACTCGGTCTCGCTTCATGCAGGTCGGAGTTTAATCCTCGACCGTCCAAGTGGTTGGGCACCATCCCCCCCCCCATCCCAAATCCTTATCCTGACCCCTTCTAAGTCCTATATAGTCGTAATGGCTTGGCCCTTTCCCCTGAAAGTTCAATTAAATTCTCAAGGATACTGTATATAATCTTTTGTATTACATTGAATTGTATACAGCATCCTTGAGAAAGGTTGTAGGGTTACACATCCAAAAATTTGTTTTGTAATGCATTTATACATACATTGGGCCTTTCTTTTAAGTTCATTCATGCACTACAGCATTGTAGTAAGTTTCTCCAATTAGTGTGTTATTAGTGCAAGCTCAGGGTACAAAGACAATTTTGTGAAGGGGGTTCATCAATGCATGTGTCAACCGAAATGTTGTCAATGTAATTAGTGTTACCTCTCTAGATGGATCAGCTGGAAATCTGGTATGTATTACCACTCAAGAACTTGCACGAGCCTTTTTCTTTTTAGTCGGTTGGGAGTAATGAGGTCAAAGTTTGCTAAAAAATAGAATTTTGGCCAAACTGGCTTTGTTTTTGTTTTTTTGTACTTGGGATTTTTTTTATAGGAACAACTACTATTTGGCAAAAAATCACCAATACTAATTTTACTGTATTTATAAATACATTAAAACTGCTAAAAGCATGCTCAATCACAGAATTCCAATATATATTGTCATTTCTCAATACAGTATTTACAATTATACTACATGGAAGTAATGGTACAAAGGTGTGTTTAAACTAAGGAATACAATGCTGTGAAGAGAAACGGGCACAGGAGGCAAAGATCACCCCCAAATTCTGCTCAGCAGTGCAGGATTTCGTCAGTCATTGAGAGAGAGACTCCCAATACACTGTGCTAACAAACAATACTACCTAAATCCCTGTATGAATCCACTTAATTTAAATATATTTTGTAATATTTATATTAAAGGAGAAGTGTATATTTCCATTCAATAATGAATATACAGCCTTAAAAAATGCAACAACATGAATGGTCAAAATTACAATAAATATGATACACAACCAATCAACATGAAAATTACAAAAACAAAACTATTACTGTAGACACAATCTATACAATTAACTATTACAGCAATGAATAATCAACAGATATATGAATATGACTGCTATATAAACAAATTTGCAATGGTAGCAGCTTCATTACTTTTCACATTACAGCATCTAAGACCAATACACTGTAATAAACAAATGTGATGTACAAGACTGGGATTTCTGCATCTACCTTCAAATCTGATTTTGGAAGATAGTCCATAACCCGTATTTTGTGAATACCTGTATGTGGATTTATGATGCTTTGTTGTGCGTGCAACTTTAACTCTTGTCTTTTTACGGCAGTTGAAAGGTTATCAATCATCAGTGACATTCCCGTGACATCCATATTACACATTCAGCAAACGTAATGCAACAGTATTGCAGAGCATTTTTAAGGTATCTGTAATAAAATACTTAAGCCTTGTACTGTACTTTGGAAATATGACCTATATTTCCTTAGGATTTGGTCTTGCATTAGGCAATGCACATGAACCTTCACATAATACACAACACATCCAAGCAAACAAATGTTTAGCCTTGATTATCATGACAAGAAAAACACAATAAGGAACCATCTGTTACTACTGTAATATCTAAGTGTGGTCTTACAATATTGAATTATGATAAACCCTAGAACCTAAAGGTTTTTAATGTATTAACATAATGAAGGTTTGGGTATGTAAATGAACTGAAACATGTGTATGTTTTAATGCTAGTATAATTTATTACCAATAAATGCTCATTCATCCATATAAATATGAACATTATTTGTCACTTAAAGAACTGCATACATTATTCCACTAACTTCTTTGCTCCTGAGTAAACAATCTTTACAGGCTTTACAAAGAGCTGCACTTGGGCCATATTGTAGACTATCCCTCTGGTGGTTCTTATGTCAAATGCATCAGAAAACTGCATTACCTTTAAAGTCAACCATTATTCAATACAATGCACCAAGAAATTAATTTTGTTTAAAGCCTGTAGCAGTGCTGCTCACTTTTTGAAGTGGTACATAAACTAAACTAAAACCATTTACCTTGATGCTCTTGGGGGCAAGGACAGGTAACTCGCCACACAAAAATTTATCTTTTGTGTTTTATTCAAAGAAATATTAGTGAAGTTTTCTCTAATAGAATATGTTATTCAAAGCATTACCATGGGTAAAATATATTGAGAAATTACATAAATGAGAAGATAACATTAGAAAAATGTGCATAATATCAGAAGCTGCATATAATATTCAGAAGTGACTTTCCATGCCTACTTTCTAATTTTTTTTCAATATTTGCATGTTATAATTGTTATTATTTTTGTGTCCACTATTCATGTCCCCCCAGCAACCAGCACATTATCTAATCCTAAAGTTGCATGTCTTAGGATCATTTAAAATAAAGCATTTAACTACAATATCAGGCAGAGAAACTGGACAATGCATTTCATTATTTATTGTGAATATCAATGCCTGTTTTTTATTTATATTAATGCCTTCCTTTTTGTATTATTTCTGACATCTTTATTCAACTCAACATTTTCCTCCTTTCCTAGAGCCTTTTTTCTTCCCACTGCCCCCACCACCATATTTAGTAGCCAAGTTATCCAAAAATGAGTCCATCTCTTCTCCCCGCTGCTTTCCGCGCTTGAGAATCAGGGCTTTTAAACTATCTGTGGTGTCTCCCAGACCAAGTTCTTTTTTCATTGCTTCTGCTTCCTCTGCTTCTTCTGCTGCCTATTGGGATAAAACATGTTCGATGAAGGAACAAATTCTTGGACTATGAGTCATTGTGTGGGCTGTTTTTATTTTCATACAGTGCATATATACACACATACATCCACTTCCCCACACACAAGACCCGTTTATCATTCATGCATGTGTGTATATGAATATATACATGACCTACCTGTAGGGAGGTTGCTGCTTCTTTGTGAAAGAATATAGTTACAATCAACATATCCCCAAAATAGGTTAATTGAGCTTGCAACAAGACAGATGTTAGGTTAGTGTTGGGCAGCCAATGAGTAAGAACACAATCAAGGCAAAATGCTATGACAGAATGAGCGTATAGCACTTCAATGTTTAATTCAACCAAAAGCAGTCCACTTCTATTCAAGTTGCCAATACATGAGCAAAAGCACAAAAGGTCATCTACTCAAGAAAAGTCCGATTCACTGATCAGAGCATCCAGTGTAATTGTCATAACGGAATCATAGGGAAACATGTTTCTTATTCTCCTAAAAATCAAAACATGTATCTAAAGAAACAAGACTAAGTAAGTAATTATTAAAAGAAGGCACCAAACTGGGATGGCTATGTAGCACCATCAAATGTGGGGAATAATCAGAGGGCACTAAAAAAAAAAAAAAAGGAGAGAGAGAGTGAGAGAGAGCGAGAGCGCATTCTCTTGGGCCAACTACCTTTATTGTTAGTTTGCACTTCAATGATCTTGTGGTTCGAGTAAGTAGTGTCTGAGATTGTAATATCTCTGATTAGCTCATCATTCTTCATGAATATCAGGTCCAACGTGTTTTCGTTCCTAGTTGGTTCTGTAATCTGCTGATTGAGCAAGAATTTGCCACAATCTCAGTAGTTCTCTGATCTGTGGTTGGTTACCTGCTATAATGTTATTGTTTACTATTCTCCATTTTAAACTGGGTAGATTGAAGTCTTCAAGAAAGATAATAACCTAGCAACCCCAGTACCAGATATCAGGAATAGTCTATTTTGTGTATCTGCTCAGTGAATTCCTCTACTGTTGCATATGGCAGTTTGTATATTACAATAATAATTAGATTTATATTTTCTTCCTTGATTCCAAGGAAAGGACAAGGGGGCACAGACAGAACCAAAGTCGAGGCGACAAACACCCCCAAGTCCAGGATCCTATAACCAAAATGGGACAGCCTCGGGGCATCCAGGTGAGAAACCAACCTAGTGCGCTGCAGCAACCTATAATGTGCATGAAACACTGAAGCTGCCTGCACCCGAATATCAAGATCAGTGGTGCTGGAAATAAACCAACATTTAATTGTAATTTGCATGCTAAGCACAGCATTTACTAACATTACTAACATGTAGAAATAATTGAAATTAATATTTTCCCTACTGCGTATTATTTACCAAATTCTTCCTACTTGGCATGGCGATATTGCATCAGACAACTCCGCAGAGATATAAATACTATCTACATATTAGAGAATTAAGTAATATTCTCACTTTGTCAGTATTCTTTCTAAGAATTATTAACTGACGGTATAGCAACCAGTGATCTGATATTAGCGTGTTATCAGCTAGAGATCACTATCTAACAGTTTATCTGTTATAATAAATTGTAATGGAGGAACCAGAAAGTTCCCCCATTTCTCGTCTAATAAGAACTGTTCGTATTAATTACTACCCGACGAGAATTTATATAACATCAAACTCCCTATATTGTAAACCCCAGTGTTATTGTCTCATTTAGTAGAGTAATTATAAGGAAGAGAATTTTCCATTTCTGCTGAAACATGTTCGAGCCTGCGCGGACGAGACGGGGTAGAGGGAGAGAGGAGCACCATTGGAAACATGGTCGGAGCGTCGCCAGCACATGCCGCTGCAGCAGATTACCGGCGTACGTCAAGACTAGACCTGGATGGGCTAATATTTCGTGATCATATCAAGCACGAGAAGTGGCCGTTTCATTTAATTAATTGGCCTGGAGCACACCATTTAGCGGACCACTACGATTACTGGCGATTGCTGTGACTCCATCAACGATCATACAATCGTTTCGGCGAACACCTATACGGTTAAGTGGTTTTAATTAGTTGTATCGGAGCTCTATACATTAATTTTTACCCTTGTTCGTCGTTACACCGTAGGCCCTCCTTTAACCACCAAGTGAGTTCTCAGTGAACTAAATTTAATTCCTTCATTGCCTAATAGTGGCATAATTATTTGAGTGTAGGCGTCCTCTACATTTTTCTGGGTTTGCAGCCTGTGACGAGTCCGCCTAAGGAGAGATCAACTCCTTACGCCACGCATGTTGCGAGACATGTTCTAGCAAGTTCCAGACGAGGCTGCCTCACATGCGCGCAACATTTCTCAATCACAGCTAAGAAGCTAAATTTATTTTAATACATTTACTAACCCCACTTGTCTATGATTGAAATTTATGACAATATCCAGTTCTTATGAATTTATTATGTATGCCATATATTTTAGAGCATATATTTCTTAACACTTTACTGACAGATTTGATATGAATAATTATTTTGTCTTATGCTAATTACTGCATTATTAATCTTATTTTGCCATATGATCATTAATTTTACTGAATATTTCATAAAACTTGATTTATATATTTTCTTAGTAATTCTGATTAATTCACTGACGAAGAACCAGCATCAACTACAGTACTTGTACTAGTGATGTATTAATCTTTAGTATTAACCCCCAATGCTTGTGAAAGTCGAACTCATAACTCATTAGTATAATTACAGTTCATTATTGCTCTCCAAATAACTTCTTAATTATTGTAACATCCATAGACACTGATTCCTAAATTCTTTTTATTATTTCATTTATTTGTTTCCCTCTTTTGTCAAAGAGGGTGGCCCTTCAAATATTTCTATTTCAGTTAATTAAATATTATTTCCATTAAGAGTTAGATTTCCCACAAGTGGAACCGGGTGAAGCGGAGTACATGCATGGAACACCACTTGCAAGATTCCGGGTCGAAGGTGTCACCGACCCAACAGGCAGCACGACAGAGGCAAAACAGGTGGTAGTCACCCTGAGACAAGGGAACAGAGCAACCTTCAAACTCTCATGAAGCAAGATGGGACCCAGGGGGAATGCATCCATTGGACCACTGAGCCCTAGAAGGGGTTTTCAGGACCCTTAGACATTCTGATAAGGGAAGCCCAGGCAAAGTACTGCTAATCAGCACCAACAAACTGCTAAAAGCTGAACCCCCGGGACGTGTACACACACGAGAACCTAGTGGAGGACCATCTAGAAAAATATATATAGAAGTGGCAACCATACCAAGGACAGACCCTCTACCAGGCAGAAAACAAAAAAGAAAAACCCAGGTGGAACAGAGCTGGTCGCTATATTAAGTGAAAAACAGCTGCATAGTACCTTGCGCCCCTTCCAGTGACGAAACCACCACCTACCCAAGGTAAACAGAGGTGTATGAAACACCCCAGCTGACTCCAAGAGAGGGCAATTACTGAGGAGTAAAAGACCTCAGCAGAGGTAGTCCCCAAGCAACTTGTGGAAGATAACCCCAAGCCACATGGGCAGTACTTACAGGGCACCTAGAGAAGGTAACCCTAGGCACATGCAGCCCAAGTACTGGTGAAATTATTCCTGGCTCGCACACCACCACACACCACAAGGCACAGCACTGAATAAGAGTCTGAAGCCAGAATCACAAGACTGCAAGGTCTCTCATCAGCCACAAAACTAGGGGGTCTGGAGCTCCCTCTTCCCCCTCCTGGGAAGGGGAAGCTGCGCAGATGGTGGAGCGGTGATGGTTGTGACGTCCGGCATGTTTGCTTGTTTTTCGTTTGGGGGAGTTCTGTCCAACAGTTTGGTTTTCAGTAGCAATATTTTAAACAAATAGGGTTTGTTTTGGGGGTGCCTACCTTTCTGGGTGCCTGACCCAGTCGATGGCAGACATAGAATGCTCACAAATCACACAGGGGTTTCTATAGGCTATTGCCCCTCATGCCTCTCTGAGGGGGGGCCAGGTTCTGGCTCATGGTCCCCGGTAGGCCAAGAACTCCATTCGCTTCGACTGATGCCAGGAGTTTAATACCATACATTCATATCAGCCCAGAAAGCTCCAGGAAGCCGAAAGGGTTCCCCCCAGAAAAGCACGAAAACAATTAAATTCTTCACAAAGAATTCAAGCGCGATCGTCACTAAGCAGGTCACTGGTAAACTGAAGTGCGCCTCGTCCGTGCCACCAGGAACCATGCACTCAGTCGACCCAAACGTGTATCAACAAACTCGCCAAGGGAGGCAAAGCTCATATACCAAGCTGAATTTTACAAAGAAACTGAGCTCGTAACCAAAAAATTCGTAAAGAAGGGCATTCGTCAATCGAGGTTCCACTGTACTAATACAGTAATAAAAAAAATAATACAGTACTGTAATAATAATAATAATAATAAAAAGCCCTTGGGGAGGGGGGGGGGGTGGTCATGGCACCAAGAGATTAACAAATTCACAGATGGAACAAAAACATTTAATGGAAATAGTAATAAAGAAAAACTCACCTTACGTTTCCTGGTTTCTTTTTTCTTTTTGCTTTCTTTTGAAAAATTTTTAAACTCAGGAACCTCGTCCTTCTTGAGCCATCCCTTTATTATCTTTGTGAACCTACAATAAAAGTTTATAAAAGCAGATATGAACAGCAAGTTCTGTACCAAGTAAACAGCAGAGTTAATGCATCAAATGCGATGAAAGCAGTTTGTATCTGCAAAATCTGTTGAAAATACAAAAAATTTTGATACAGTATTCACAGTTTTATTAAAAAGTGCCAAATCTTGTCATGCACTTTCTTGACTAAAGTCAGTGAGGGAGGTTTAAGTACCATTTTATATAATTACATGCAAGTGTTACTATGCCAATGCAGCAACTTTCATAGTATAAAATTACATTACGTACACTGTAATTACATACCTTCTACAGCTCGCCCTAATCAGTAAATACTGTACGAAGATATTTATATTTCAACTTTTCCATACATTTTTTTTTAAATTAATTATTCTACTTGGAAAAATAATTTTTTATTTAAATTTTAATCTACTGTATTTTTTTCTTTGGGCATGGGTGGACATGGGTGAATATCCATAGCCTCAACTTTATAGGTTAGTTTTATTTTTCATAGTTTCTTAGAAAACAATGTTTTATGACTTGTAATTATACTAAACCTGTTTGTTACTAAATAAATATAATAACTCATTAAATGCCTATTATTACATCCAATTTCAATCCTTGCTCTTTTAGTTAAATTATTTAATACTTCCATCATAGTATGGAACACAAACATTTTGCTATAATTTTCATACGGTAAATGAACAAAAACAATTGTTTGACTTGATAAATGCAAAATTCTTCAGATAGATCAATCAAATTGTTATTACAAATTAAAATGCAAAATTTAAGTTATTAAATTATTAAAATCCTGCATATAGACAACCAGAAAAAGTTTATATAATGAACATATTCATTGACATGTAATGGAAGTATTCAAAAGACAATCAGAAATTTAAGAAAGCAAGTCTTACCTTGGTTCATCATCAATAGAAGAGCATAGTACATTTTGCAGAATATAACCCATATCTCCCTCACCATCTACATAGGCTTGCTTCAGATCATTCAGTTCTTCTTCAGAATCTACAAATAAAAATAAAACTGAGCCATACAAAATTCTCTAAGAAATTGTAGTTCCTATGTTGACAGGCAGTTATTTATCTCAATAAATGAAAAAAATACAGAAGATCCTCATCAGATTCATACCCTTATACTTTGATTCAAAATTCTTTATATCTTCAATGGTTATCTTCTTGAACAACAAACGCCAGTATTGGTCCCAATCACGATCATCAGGGGCAACATTTTCATCATCCACTTCACCTGAACCATAAAGTAAATATTTTATTATTACCCATATATATCTATTAAAAAACTGAAAGCTGAATAATTTAATACAGAATTATGAAATAAAAAAAAAATTAAAGGCAGTAAAACACAAAAGCAATACATAATAAATATAGTGTGCAGCACTTTGCAGCCTCCTGAACATGAGAACATATTCTTGTCAGTGAGTTACACACAATATACATAATTCTTGCTTTAAGTTAAGGTTCTCTTTACCTGTCTCATCATATACCGATCGTCGATCCTTGTCAGACAATATTGAGTAGACTTTGCCAAGGGTCTGAAATTTCTGTGTGGCATCTTGCTTATCATTTTGATCAACTCGATCAGGGTGAACCTTCAGTGATAATCTGTGGTATGCCTTCTTTACTGTAAGAAAAGGCAATTGTCAAAAGGAATCGTTCATTAATAAACAGTAAGATATACAAATCAGATAGCTAACTATAATGAATAACTTTGGTTCAAGAAAGATGTTGATATATGATACAATAAGAGAAACCATATAATAATAAATCACATAAATGACATTAAACATTTAGGTGTATATAATTCTGAAATATAGAGGGGCCAGCCAAAGCTTAATGTAACTAGTTATTGTATTCTCATAAAACCGAGTAGGCATTCCTACATCCAAAGGAAACCCTCCACTGATATCAGGCAAACACTGTACAGTACAAACACTTATCAAATCATCAATGGCAGGTGTAAAAATCTAAGAATAGGAGGGTGAGAATTAGTATGCAAATCCAGTTATGGTGGTATGTAATAATCACAAGTGTTTAGAGTGTCATTCTTTGTTAAGCTTTAGAATGTTTATTGTTACTTATTGAAACCTTTAGCTGTTATAAGCAGAAACAGTCAACTGGTGAAAATAAAAAATAGTTCATTGGATATGTGATGTGCCAAATGTGCAAAAATAATAGCTTCAACATCCAGACATGTGACTCTTATAACAGTGGTTTGGGCCCGATAGCTGCAGCTATTTGGCATCACACAATGTGGTAAATATAAATCCATATGCAATACAGTAATTAGTTCCTGTTCAAGAATCGGTTACCATTACATATGCTATAATGACTACAGTATTGACAAATATCTGGGCCTCAATAAACTGCAAAATAGGCATGCATTTATAGCACACCTGATGCCTTCATGGACCTCCGCACAGATCTTATCACACCGACTCCCTTCAAAACACTGATGAAACATTAAATCAAACCTAGAAAGGGCTGAAGTTCCCCATTACCCCCCCCCATCCCCCAAGGTTGTCCAGAAAGAAAGAATGCAGGGAGGACATGACTCAAACAACAAGGTTAGATAGTAGGACATCAGTGGAATCTGCACATACGAATTCAAGAGTTGTAAGAAAGTTTCCATTCCCTGTATGGGTGGTCATTATGTGGAATAAATTGAAGGATGATGTTATTGAAGCCAATTCCATCTACAACTTTAATTATGAAAATGTTTATGTTGAGAAGTGATTAGAATGTCAGGTATAAAGAGCTAGGAGGTAGGGCACAGAATACTAGATCTCACTCCCCTGCAGTCACTGATAGGCGAGCATTACAAAGCCTGCCAGGAGGGTCTAAGAACAGGGAGCAAAAATTGAAATGCCTATGCAATACCTATGAGCATCCAGATACACCGAAGAGGCAGACAGAGGAGACACTATTGAAAGCTGTTGTACATGCTCCCCACAAAAGCAGTCTGGCTACACCCAAAATACTGCACTGTATTTTTGATCAACAAATACTTACTCCCTGAACTCTGTATGTTCTTAAAAGAAATAATAGGAAACCAATTTTTTTACCTTAAAATTCTGTAGGTCATATTTCAGTTGTCCCCTTTTGGTTTCAGGCCGATGTACAGACCTTAAACTGACACATGGGTCAGTTTAAAGTGTAAAGCAATTACAAAATAGAATTTATATATATATATATATATATATATATGTCGTACCTAGTAGCCAGAACTCACTTCTCAGCCTACTATTCAAGGCCCGATTTGCCTAATAAGCCAAGTTTTCCTGAAATAATATATTTACTATAATTTTTTTCTTATCAAATGATAAAGCAACCCTTTTCTCTATGTATGAGGTCAATTTTTTTTATTGGAGTTAAAATTAACGTAGATATATGACCGAACCTAACCAACCCTACCTAACCTAACCTAACCTATATTTATAGGTATGGTTAGGTTAGGTAGCCAAAAAAAGCTAGGTTAGGTTAGGTTAGGTAGACGAAAAAACATTAATTCATGAAAACTTGGCTTATTAGGCAAATCGGGCCTTGAATAGTAGGCTGAGAAGTGCGTTCTGGCTATTAGGTACGACATATATATATATATATATATATATATATATATATATATATATATATATATATATATATATATATATATATATATATATATATATATATATATATATATATATATATATATATATATATATATATATATATATATATATATATATATATATATATATATATATATATATATATATATATATTTATTTATTGGATTTAAGATGGAAGAATCTAGATTAAAAAAACCAGCGTTGAATGTAATGAAACGCCATTTTCTGGGTGAGACCCGGAGGCTCCCCGGCAACCCTCCCTCCCTCCGGTCGGCGTTTTTCCCGTGTTTTGACATCCAGCCTCAGAACTGATGGGTGGATAGCCGGCGTGGGAGGTCTGGGGCTCCCCCTTCCCCCTCCCGGGGAGGGGGGAGCTGCGCAGACAGCGGCGCGGTGACGTGACGTCATACTAGTTTCCTTGTTTTCTGTTGAAGAGTTCTATCCACTAGTTCGGCTTAGGTAGCAATTTTCACCAGAATAGGGGTTTGTTTTGGAATGCTTACCTTTCTGGATGCCTGACCCGGTCGATGGCAGACATAGAATGCTTCCAACCACACGGGGGTTTCTATAGGCCATTGCTCCCCTTGCCTCTCTGAGTGGGCCAGGTTCTGGCTCGTGGTCCCCAGTAGGCCCTAGAACTCCATACACATGACTGATGCCAAAGTCTGACATTAGCATATCAGCCGGTAAAGCTCCGGGGAGCCGACGGGGCTCCCCCCAGAAATATAGATAAAATCTGGTTTGAAAATAGAGTTGCAGATCTATACAACAACAAAAACTCTCACTGTATTATGCCTTGTTGAGCTGGAAAGCTATTTCCCTTCTGAGAGCAAGCCATCCTCCACAAACTATAAAACCTGTAGTTACCAGAGATAGAATTTACAAAATATGTACTGTTGTAAGAACAAAACAGTTGATGTTTTGTACTACAGTACACTACTGCAATTCTAAAGGTCATAACAAAAACCAAAACAGACTAACCATACACCTAACCTACCTTAGGCCTAAGTAAATATCCCTAACATGCAATCTTATATCTAATTTAGTACAAATATAACTAATACTTGGCCTTGTTAAAGTTAGGTTTGGTTGATCCCTTCTTTTTTAGGCCTTCTACAAAGCTAATGAAATACAAAATGTGGACTTGTCTTGACATAACACTCCATATTGTATAGACCATCCACAGTAACTAATAGATACTTTAATTTTTGGATGAAAGTTTCTGTAAGTTATGTTTGGCCTTTTAAAGTTAATGTCTTCTAATTTGTTCAGTTTTTTAAGATATTTGAGATCAGAACATTATCATGTCTTGTTTACAGAGTTGTTAATCATGAGACCCTAAGCCCTCTTGCAATGAAAGTTGTCTTACTTCTGGGATAATTATTGTCGATTTGCACTGAGCATTTAATAGTTCACCTGCCTTTTTCTAACCAAGATCTCCTTGCTTGCATAAAGTCATAGGCTCATTTGATTATTCCTAAATTTTTTTTTACCACAGTTCCAATTTCATAAGCAACTTTCACTGACTGGCAGACCACTACACAGAGGTCCTTTCCTTTTTAAATAAACAGTGGTGTCATGTTATCGATGCAGTAGTCATGGTATGTACCATTATGCCTTACATGCAAGGCTTTTCGTTTTTAATATTACAAGGGTTTACCCGTATTCTGTAGTTTTTGCTATGCCTATTTTATGTAAAAGGTCAGTTTACCTACAAATTTTATAACCTAATAAACTTGACACAACTGTACACATACTGTATTGCTATGTAGAGTTACCCTTGGTAATAAATTAATTACTTGAAAAAGTCATATGTAACAAAAAAGAAGCAACGGTTTCAAGCTCAACAAGTCACAATGTAGGATTTTGAACATGAAATGCTTTTTCACCCACAGGGTTATAACCCCACGGAACCACCTATCCGCAGTAGCCGTAACTGCCAAAACTCTTATATTTTAAAGTACAACTGAAAAAGATCATCAAGAGCTTTGACTATCTGCCGGCATCCTGTCTTCGTTGATGCCACTGGTGTTGGTGGCCCTCAGGTAAATGCAGGCAAATAATGCGAGTCTGGCCAACACCACGGAAATATCAGCTTCGAGCCACGACCTTGACTCCAGAAAACCATAAATACAATTAGGTCAGCCTTATTCATACCATATAAGTGCCTCCAGAGTGCATCTGCTCATTAACTGCTATATTACCATATATAGAAAGAACAATATTTAATACCATGCAAATTACCAAGATTATTCGAGTACATTTACTAATACTAAACTTACCTTCATTTTCATTTGCATCCTTCTCAACCCCCAACACTGTATACAGCTCCCGCGAACCAAAGAACTTCTCGCAGCAATCCAAAACGCCTGTCATGGCGGATTACTGAAGATATTTCAAAATAAATCTTGACGTACTACGCACAACTGCGGTTCACTTTGTTTACCTCGGAGCAGACGATTGATTTCCGCGGGAAGGTGGCGAGGAGGTGAGGCGCGCCGCGCGCACCGCTCCTCATTCACTTTTGCCTGGACATTTTGTAATGATTTCATCAAGACTAACTTGCTTAGCTAAATGAATTGTGGGGTTCAGTCCCTGAGCCCATTATGTGCCTCTGTAACCCTTTACACTACCGCTCCCAAGATGGGTATGGGGTGCATAATAAATGAACTAAACTAAAAAAAAAAACATTAATGATGGCTACTATCCTAACACATTCAAATGTTTATTCAGGTAAAGTACATACATACAAGGTCTGATACAAACATTGATGGATTTATAGATAGAGCTAGTACATACAATGCCTAAAGCCATTATTACGCAAAGCGTTTCGGACAGGCATTAACAAAATGACACGTTTTGTGTTAGAAAGCAAACTAACTTCTCAATCACTCAACTAATTTAACCACATATGCATGCTACTGGCATGTGTGTTGGTAACTAAATTTTCAAACAACCTGAGGAATTTAATTATCAGCAAAAAACTCGACAAAATAACAAAATAGCCTCTAAGTCGACAACTTCCTTCACTGTATAACCTCTTGGGTGCACTTTTTTTTTTTTTTTTTTTTTGAGATATATACAAGAGTTGTTACATTCTTGTACAGCCACTAGTACGCGTAGCGTTTCGGGCAAGTCCTTAATCCTATGGTCCCTGGAATACGATCCCCTGCCGCGAAGAATCGTTTTTTCATCCAAGTACACATTTTACTGTTGCGTTAAACAGAGGCTACAGTTAAGGAATTGCGCCCAGTAAATCCTCCCCGGCCAGGATACGAACCCATGACATAGCGCTCGCGGAACGCCAGGCGAGTGTCTTACCACTACACCACAGAGACACTTACGAAGTCCGCTCGAATAATTCAAACATCTGCTTCACATTGGACTAACAAAACAGCCTTTCAATCTTACCTCTGGTATAAGAGGTGTCAAGAGCTAGTTATAACTGTGTGTGTGTGAGTAATTACCTTAGTGTAGTTACAGGATGAGAGCTACGCTCGTGGTGTCCCGTCTTCCCAGCACTCTGTCATATAACGCTTTGAAACTACTGACGGTCTTGGCCTCCACCACCTTCTCACCTAACTTGTTCCAACCGTCTACCACTCTGTTTGCGAAAGTGAATTTTCTTATATTTCTTCGGCATCTGTGTTTAGCTAGTTTAAATCTATGACCTCTTGTTCTTAAAGTTCCAGTTCTCAGGAAATCTTCCCTATCGATTTTATCAATTCCTGTTACTATTTTGTATGTAGTGATCATATCACCTCTTTTTCTTCTGTCTTCTAGTTTTGGCATATTTAATGCCGCTAACCTCTCCTCATAGCTCTTGCCCTTCAGTTCTGGGAGCCACTTAGTAGCATGTCTTTGCACCTTTTCCAGTTTGTTGATGTGCTGCTTAAGATATGGGCACCACACAACCGCTGCATATTCTAGCTTTGGCCTAACAAAAGTCGTGAACAATTTCTTTAGTATATCGCCATCCATGTATTTAAAAGCAATTCTGAAGTTAGAAAGCGTGGCATAGGCTCCTCGCACAATATTCTTTGTGGTCCTCAGGTGATAGTTTTCTATCTAGAACCACCCCTAGATCTCTTTCTTTATCAGAATTCTTTAAAGATTTCTCACATAATATATAGGTTGTGTGGGGTCTATGTTCTCCTATTCTACATTCCATAACATGGCATTTATTAACATTAAATTCCATTTGCCAAGTGGTGCTCCATATACTTATTTTGTCCAAGTCATCTTGAAGGGCATGACAATCATCTAAGTTTCTTATCCTTTCTATTATCTTAGCATCATCAGCTAACATGTTCATATAATTCTGTATACCAACTGGTAGATCATTTATGTAGACAATAAACATCACTGGTGCAAGAACTGAATCCTGTGGTACTCCACTTGTGACATTTCTCCAGTCCGATACATTGCCTCTGATCACTGCCCTCATTTTTCTATCAGAAAATTTTTCATCCATGTTAGAAGCTTACCTGTCACCCCTCCAATATTTTCCAGTTTCCAGAACAACCTCTTATGTGGAACTCTGTCGAAAGCCTTTTTTAGGTCCAGATAGATGCAGTCAACCCAACCATCTCTTTCCTGTAATATCTCTGTTGCTCGATCATAGAAACTGAGTAAATTCGATACACAGGATCTTCCAGATCGAAAACCATACTGTCTGTCTGATATTATATCATTTCTCTCCAGGTGTTCTACCCATTTAGTTTTAATTATTTTTTCCAATATTTTGACTATTACACTTGTCAATGATATTAAGGGGGTCTTCCCTGCTTCCACTTTTGTAGATTGGAACTATGTTAGCCTTTTTCCACACATCAGCTACAACTCCTGTAAACAGGGATGCCTGAAAAATCATTTGAAGTGGAATGCTGAGCTCAGGTGCACATTCTCTCAGAACCCATGGTGAAACTTCATCTGGATCAACTGCTTTGTTCTTATTTAGCTCCTTGAGCATTTTTTCCACTTCGTCTCTAGACACCTCTATGTGCTCTATGTTGTTCTCTGGAATTCTTATTGTGTCTGGTTCCCTGAAGATTTCATTTTGAGCAAACACACTTTGGAACTTTTCGTTTAATGTTTCACACATTTCCTTTTCACTTTCCGTGAATCTATTTCCCATTTTCAACCTCTGAATATTATCCTTTACCTGCAATTTGTTGTTTATGAATTTATAGAATAGACCTGGTTCTGTTTTACATTTGTCTGCAATCCCATTTTCAAAATTTCTTTTTGCCTCTCTCCTCACTGCTGTGTAGTTGTTTCTCGCATCTTTGTATCGTTGGTATGTTTGGGGGTTTGGCCTCTTCCTTTATTGATTCCATTTTTGTGTCTTTTGGTCTCTGGCCCCCTCGCAATTTCTGTTGTACCAATCCTGTTTCCTAGTTCTGCATCTCTGTTTTGATATAATTTTTTTTGTGCCTTTATCATATATTTCACAAAACTTGACATACACTTCCTTGCCTAGCAACAAGTCTGTCCAATTATACTCACTGTTACAACTGATATGAGTGGGGCTTCTATGGGGTACTGGTACTATTAAGGGGTATAGGTAGTTAGAAGACAGGAGTATCAAATATGGGAGAGCTAAAAGGCCCGGCCCCCAAAATAAACTATCCACAGTAGTAATAACTTGCTACAAGACCAAATATGTTCGTCTAAGGGTTGATCACTGCGCTCCCACCTTGGAAGAAGAGATACTCTGTAATTCATGTACTTATTTATTAACCCGTTAACAACCCCCCATATACACTCACACCAATAACAATAATAATAATAACTTTACCACACTATCTTACGTTAAAAGCCTTGGTCCACGTAGGCAGGATACAAGGTTTACACTAATAACAAGCTAGGGTAAAGTACTACTGGATAAGCACTGAAGCTGGATGCAGCTTAGGGTAGTGAAACCACGTGGGACCCTAATACAAAACACAACACTTAGGGGTACCCAAACACTGGCAAAATACTATCCCCAGGTCTCCCCAATCGTTACTACCAGAGTAGGCACACTTACACCATATAATACTTAACTTAAGGGTACAGGAACTTCAGGTAAGGGAAATAAGTAAGAGGAGAAGGAAGGAGAGTAGGGATACAGCCACAGAGTAGGTCTTAACCTCACGCCACCAGCCAAGAGAAGACCGAGCTAGCCACCAGCTGCCTCCCTCATGTTGTGGTGCCGGGAGGAGCCTAATTGATCGTGCAGCTAAGCACATTAAAGATCTTCCCCTATGCAACGTATTGTTACTTTATGAATGATTAGAAAGTATTAGTAAGCAAAGTTGGTGCCTATGTTATTATTTAATAATCAACCCCCAGCTCAGTCTTTAAATGCTCTTTGAGAAACAATAATAGTCTTACGTCTGGCAGGGAAGATACAAACAATTGACATTCTAGATGCCCAACTGTGCTACCAGGAAGTTTAATAGCTCAATTTTGACCTCTGGTTTCCACTGGAGAACCCAGGGTCGTAACACTCCTCCCCCCTTCAGAGAAAAAAAAATGTGACTACTAGAATAGTAGTCATATTTTTTTGTAAGAGTATACAGAGAACAAAAAGAAAAACATATGACAAAAACAAAAAATAAATCAAAAGCAATTTCTCTGCAAAAAAATACAAAGGAGTTCTCTGAAAGAAAAAAAACATACACAACAAAAATAAAAGAACAGGGAAGTAAATAAATTGGACACGGAATATTTAATGTCACAGGAGAACCTAAAAAAAAATAACTAAAGCATGACAGTTGGTAAATGGCTTTCTGTGGCTCAGATGAATGTTATTCAGGCAACCGGGACAGAGCGTCGGCTATCACGTTGAGTCTGCCCGGTAGGTGGGTAATGGAAAGATTGAAGTCCTGTAGGTACAACGCCCACCTGAGGATGCGTTTATTCTTACCCTTCATCTGAGTCAGGAAGACTAGTGGGTTATGGTCCGTGTACACTTCCACTATATTACCTGTGAGGTAAACTTCGAACTTTTTACATGTTAACACTAGCGCCAATGCCTCTTTTTCTACCACTGAATAATTGCGTTGCGCCTTGTCGAATTTCACAGAGTAATAATATACTGGGTGTTCCACCTGATCATCCCCAGTTTGCAACAACACTGCACCAGCACCCGAGTCAGACGCGTCAACATGAATTTTAAACGGTCGGTCGAACCTTGGACTAGCAAGCACTGGGGCGGAAGCTAAGATCAATTTCAAATTTTTAAATGCCTCTGCACAGTCTGATGACCACTTAAATTTAACGGCTTTCCGCAACAAGTCTGTGAGAGGAGTGGCAACACTGGAAAAGTTCTGACAAAAACGTCGATAGTACGCACACATACCGATAAATCTTTGAACGTCCTTTTTAGACTTTAGTACTGGATACTCCAGAATGGCATTGATTTTATCTTGCCGAGGTAACACTTTTCCTTGGCCCACTTCATAACCGAGGTACGTCACTGTGCCTTGGCCAAAATGACA